GAAATCTCGCAGAGTTAAATTTTGCAGAATTGTATTGATTTACCAGGTCACAGAGCTAAGTTTCCTTCGCATGGAGAAGGGCCGCTAAGATCCACAGCCAGGACCTGATAAAAATATGTAAGTGCACTGAACTGGTCCTTGGCGGGCCTTCTCGTTTATTTCTCACAAAAAGCTGAACATGAAAGATGAGCTGCATTTGCTAGTCTCCTTCTGTATTTGACAGTTTATGGGTCTGTTTTGTAGCTGAGTAGGGGTAAATGTGGCTTGAAATAAGATAAACTTCAAGTTCCTTAAGAAGGCTATCTTAATGGGAGAGATGCTATGATACATCAGAGTACTCAGGGCTGCGTTTCCGTAACACTCGTTTATTGTAATACCGACAGATGCTCAGTGCCTTCAATGCTACACCCTTTCTTCCCACCGTAGATTTGGTCTGAAAGAACCCGCCTCACTTCACTTTCCTTGCCCGCTGAGTCAAAAAGGGCAAGAGGAAAGAAAGAAATGGTATGATGGCCACAGGCAATGGCATTTTGAGAAGCTACAGTACGTAAACCTATGTGGTCTCCCTGTGTCTACCCCCGCCAACACCTAGCATAGTGCCAGCACATAGCAACTTCTCGGTCAAGGATTGGTCCATGACTAAATTGAGTATTTTATATTTCAGTAGTAACTATTGGTTTTCCCCTCTACCATTTTTCAGAGGAAATGCCCATTGCTACAAGAAGAAAGCAACGTCATTTTCAGTTTAGGTATCAGAAGCCTTTAACCCCTGCTATAATTTCTGTCTCCATTCCTGGTCGGAACAGCCTAAGGCTCAGCCAGCACTGCCCGCCTGTCCTGTGGACACAAGGTTGGGTTAGCGCCAAACAGCACAGAAGTGGAGGCGCCCACACCCCCCACAATCTGTCACTGTTTGGAAATGTTGATTGCATGAGATCCATGGCAAGGATAATTCCGGGACAGATTTTAACTACTCCATCCAACTCGATTCCTGTTAACGTTATGTCTGCATAAACTGAATCCAGAGGGCGATTTAAACCCAGAGAACGAATTAACATCAGAAACGTGCACACATCGGAGGGAAATGTGAGCGTCGTGTCTTCTTGCTTTGTCCAAACGGAGCTTCGTGCATCAGGGCAGGGCCCCCGATGGCAGAGGGGCTGGTTTTGCTGAAAGGCAGGTTCGAACACTCCCTCTGAGGGTCAGTGGTATACTTTCACTGTCCAAAATGTCAAGTCCAACTCCAGAACAACAAAGTGTTCACTCTCAGTATCAAAAATGACTTGCGGTCACCATAATTTCCTCCTAATTATGTGTCCTCTCGGCCTTTAACTCTGGGTATAGTTTCATGGGGGCAAACATTTCGTCATGTTTATGTTTCATATCTGGGGTATTATACTGATCTATTTCCAAAGCAAATTCAAATGGACTAATGTGATTCCATGTATCTGGGTTTTTTGTTGTTGTTGTTGTTCAAATGATAGTGAAAGATCATTCATCTCTAAAGGAGAGTTTCCAGGAAATTTTAGACTAATTTTTTCTCCTATGGAAAGTGGATCTTCAACAGGAGCCTATTTTCCAAGGTCATAATCACTTACTCTGTTGAAATAAAATGCACAACATTTTTGCCTGGACATGCATAACATGTTAGTACCGTTCCTACACGTGGGCTCACCAATGCAATATTGGCTTTTCTTAACACACACATAAAGTAACAGAAGAATGTTATAATTCATTGTAAGGAATCTAATTTTTTAAAGGTTGAAAGAATTAGAGAGAGAGAGATGGCCATGTAAATATAAGATAGAGCCGGAAGTTTAAAGAACACTGTTTCAATCTAGTCCTTGCAGGACTGAAACCAAATTAAAATACAGAAAATTAATCACAGCGTCCATTCCCGACACTGTTTACATCTTCACTGCCCACCTGGCACGTAAAAACCTGAGAATGATTTGATGGTGAGTATTACGTGTAGTAGCAGCTATTTTAACCTTTAAAACTGCACGCACTGTATGCACAGGACTAGAAACGATGCGCTCAGACTAAGAGGGCTCAGAGTACAGAGCGACCCTCTCCGGGTCGAGCTCTGCTCCCCAGGGGCAGCTGCGTGTACGTTTACTTTTAAGGCTCCACGTAGTTAAATCTTATCTCTAAAAGATGCTTATCTGCCCCCCTTTTTAAATCAGCTTTATCCGATTTAAAGATTGCTTACTGACTCTCTGCTCCACAGAATGAAGATGTAGGTCACCGAACCACAAGGCCGGTTTCTCTCTTGTCTCCTCCTAATACTTGTGCCGAGTCACCGTTCGACCCTTAGCTGTGCAGCGTCACGCCTCGTAGGGAGATCCTTGTTGTTTTTCATCAGCTGCAGGGAAAGACTATTTAACACCATGCTTTTAAATGCGAGCTAGTTACACCCCCTCTTTCCCTCATCTCTTCTCCCAGTTTTTCATTCTCTCACAGTGCGTGCGACCTTTACCTCCCTGTCATCATGGCTGGAGACACCTTGCATTTTCTACAACCACACAGCAGATGAAACCTCTGTTTTCCGTCATGAGTTGCGGGCTGACTCTACAAGTGAAGCATTTACGTTGTTGTGACAATGCTCACCTTGTCGTTTAGGGGCTGAGTGGCAGACTCGGATGTTTTCCAAGGTCTCAGTGTCTGTGACCTTCCAAGGAGAGCATGACTAGGGTCAAGTTCCAATGAATCCTCCTTGCAGGTACTTCCCTCCGTGCCTTCACCATACCCAGTCTTCCCTGGAGCGGCTCATACAGGATTTCCAAGGTCATTCCTCTCACGGCCGAGACCTCCCTCCTGGAGGTGGCCCTTTTCCTTCTGGACTGGTCGCTCTCAAGACCTGCTCAGCCGTCATTCAGACACAAGTCACTGCTCCCTGGACTCGTGTCTCGCCCTTTCTTAGTTCACTCGTGTATTTTGCTACAATATATTCCCAAGTAACTTCTTCAGAAAGGGTGAGACTTTGGAAAGTTTGTCAGAGAATGACTTATTCCATCTCTCTCTGTAAAGACACCGATGACTGCCTTCCAGCTCGCGCATCGATGGTGGGAGCGGTGGGGGAGCCCGACACCAGCTGATTCCGATCCATCTGCGTGCGCCCACACACACGCTCCCCCTGAAAAGTTCCGATGTCTTCTCTTGACTACGAATCTTCTAAGTCTCACGGTGACTTTTTAATAATCGGAATATTTAGGTTTTTTTTAATAGTATCTTTTTTTAAAGACTTTATTCATTTATTTTTAGAGAGAGAAGGGAGGGAGAAAGAGAGAGAGAGAGAAACATCAATGTGCAGTTGCTGGGGGCCGTGGCCTGCAACCCAGGCATGTGCCCTGACTGGGAATTGAACCTGCGACACTTTGGTTCGCAGCCCGCACTCAATCCACTGAGCTATGCCAGCCAGGCACCGGAATATTTAGGTTTTGAAGGCGGGACAATTCTTTAGCCTCTTAAACCAGAGTTACTTTGCATCTCTTACCTGCTACTTCTGCTACTTTTATTTTGTGGAATTTAGTATTCATGCCTAAGGGGAATGAAAACATGCATTCTGCTTTGTGGTGATTTTCAGGGGGTGGGTGTATTCCTATTTATTTCAGTATACTTGAAATTTCATATACATTCCATCTGTGATATCAGAAATATTAGGTTGGTTATACTATGTTCACTCGTAATGGTCAGAGAATACACTCCACTTTGCAGATATCAGTGAAGTAACTAGTACAAAATGTACTGTTATTCTTCATCGTCTTTCTAACTGCACAATTTAGTATTCAGCCAGTTACAAATTACTCACACAAGGAAGCTCCAGGCTGGGGTTAGTTGTGTCCCTGATTCGCTTTGGAGATCTGTTCTTTCTCTTCCAGACACACAGGAACCAACAGAAACAAACTAAAAATGTATCAAGTCTAAGGATAGGCAGAGGAGAATGGAAGAGACATGGAACCAAAAGAACGAACAATTTTAAGTAAAAATAAAAGTAGAAAGGAAAAACGGGTGTCAATGATAGGAAGGAGTGTTCCTCGGTTCAGACCGCATGTCAGTCCCCACAGGCACTCACACCACTGCCTTTCACATGGTGCGACCCATCACTGTCAAATTTCGCCATTTAAGAATCTCACAAAATGCCTGGGTTTCTCTTCGGTTTAGGTTCTGACATTTTTGCAGTCCAGGGTTTTCCTAACATCTTATTTGGTAAAAATATTACCATTTTGGATAAAGCCATTAGTTTTCATGGCATCTGTTGCATGGAAGGATTCTCTGTATCTTTCAGAGCACGTGACCCCAGGGCTTGGGGCTGAGCTGCAAGAGCTGTTTGTCCTTGACCCTCACGCTCCGTCAGGCCCTAGCATCTGCACAAGGCATTTACACTTGGGAGCCGATGCAGGCCCACCGTGGTGGAGCTTCTGTTGTTATATTCTATAATGACATCTTCATGGGGGCTGCAGACGGATTCTGCAGTACAACTGGAAACCTGCCCACAGAGCTGTTTCTGACTCGTACAAGTTGTGCAAAGTCTTGCAGCCCAGGGGGCAGAGAGGGAAGGAGCTTCTGGGGAGGTGGACGGGTCCATCAGCGATTTGTTTACCTTTTCTGATTCCTGGAAGATACAGTCGCTGAACTGGCGTGCTGATAGTGGCTCTCCTCACTTGTTTCTTCCCAGGTTGTCCAGATCACTATCTATCTTTAATCTCTGGCGGGGGAGGGGTGGGGGATGGCGGCAAGCAGGGGAGATAGGGAGCATCTGTAATAGTGTCAACCATACATATAGATAAAAATAAACTCCATATATTAGATGCAGAGCATTGCAAAAGCGACTCTTTATGGTTCACATTATATTGAACTGTGTGACTCCCGGCACGAATGATCATCCATTCAGGATACTCGATGTTAACCCCATGATTTAGGAGCTGTTTTTTTTTCCTCTTGTACACTGGAATCGTTGCCCATGGCCACCCAACATGTTTACGTTTCTCTACTCCCAGCATGCGGCAAACTGATGAAAATCACGGGCCCGATCACCATCAAGACCTCCGGAACCCGCTTCGGCGCCTGGATGACCGACCCCCTGGCGTCCGAGAAAAACAACAGAGTATGTTGCCTTTGCTTAGAACAATGTTTTATTTGTACCTTTTGTCTACGGAGCTACTCACTTTCCTTAGGGATATGGTTTCAGGCTGAAAACTGTTACATTGCTGCAAATATGTTCAGTGTGATAATATTAACACAGTTACAGATAGATGGCAAAAACTTACTTTACTAAAATGTTCCATCCTATAATTCACCGATACAGTGAGTCTACTTTTTACCTGTTTTACTCTTTACACTTTAAAAAACTAATTACAAGAACACAAAATTCTCTATATATTTCTATTAAAACCTGCTCCTTAATGTCAAAAAAAACCAAATAAGTGAAAAACTTGAGCTAACCAATTGACCAAACAAGGTTAAATATCCTGCAGTCCAGAGGTAATTTTAAAGGAAACAGTGCTGAAACTTTGGCGGTGGGGTGTTTTCATAAACTGGCAATACCTGCATTACATCAATCCGTATAGTGGAACCTTACCATAGCTCTGTTTGTGTTCTGTTGCTGAGCTCAGTATCATTACGATTCTCCAAAGGGTTACACCCAAATGAGATTAGTGTGGCTAGGTTAGTAAAATGGCTGTATGAAAAGGTGGTTGTACTTATAAAGCTGGTCCTGTGAACAAGTGTTGGTTTCTGGAAGGTTCTGTGGTGTCCATAAAGGAGAAATAAACAGTACAAAGTTAGACCATACATTTTCCAGAGCAAGTTACAGAAGAGACAAGTTTGCTGAAGGCGGTATTTTTGCAGTCACTGAGCGCTCTGGTCTATCAGGTAGCTACGCAAAGTGGTGTGGTTCGTGCTGATACACAGTTGGCTCATTCTGTCATATGTATTGAATGGTCAAAAAAATGGGGCAAAAACCAAATCAGCTTCAGGGAAGTATATCCCATTGTTTCCTTCCCACGTGGGCCATGCCCCCACGATTTTTGCAAAAGCCTGCAGTACCGTCAGTGCTAAGAGGATGTGGTTTTGGGAGCCTGAGCACAGCGACACGAATAAGTGCTGACTCTTACGGTCTTCACTGTGGGATTCTCAGGGAAGCACAGAATGTACGGACTCCATTTATTCACTTGTTGCCCCTCCTCCCCAGGTCTGGTACATGGACAGCTACACCAACAACAAGATCGTCCGCGAGTACAAATCCATGGCGGACTTCGTCAGCGGGGCAGAGTCCAGGACCTACAACCTGCCCTTCAAGTGGGCGGGGACCAACCACGTGGTCTACAACGGCTCCCTCTACTTCAACAAGTACCAGAGTAACATCATCATCAAGTACAGCTTTGACCTGGGCAGGGTGCTCGCCCAGCGCAGCCTGGAGTACGCGGGCTTCCAGAACGTCTACCCCTACACGTGGGGGGGCTTCTCCGACATCGACCTCATGGCCGACGAAATCGGGCTGTGGGCCGTGTACGCGACGAACCAGAACGCGGGCAACATTGTCATCAGCCAGCTGAACCAAGACACCCTGGAGGTGACGAAGAGCTGGAACACCGGCTACCCCAAGAGGAGTGCGGGGGAGTCCTTCATGATCTGCGGGACGCTCTACGTCACCAACTCGCACTTAACCGGGGCCAAGGTGTACTACTCCTACTCCACCAAAACCTCCACGTACGAGTACACGGACATCCCCTTCCACAACCAGTATTTCCACATCTCCATGCTCGACTACAACGCCAGGGATAGAGCCCTTTACGCCTGGAACAACGGCCACCAGGTCCTCTTCAACGTCACCCTCTTCCACATCATCAAGACCGAGGACGACACATAGGCCCACGTCACTCGGGGTCGTCGATCTCACCGGTGTCATTCGTGATAAACTCTATAGGACGCCTCTTGTTTTTTCCTTTGTTCCAACTTCCCACCATCTCTCCAAAGCATTGTTATGATCACGTTGGTGTTTCCAACAGCAGCTGAGCCTGCCTAAGTTGACCTGTTGGAGACCCAACTGAATTCCTGCATTTACAAGGCCTGTCTCGTCCTTGTCATGAAAAGCACTAGAAAGGCTTACGTGGCTACAGTCGTAGTTTTGCAAAAGATTAATGGTCTGCCTTATATTAGAGTCAGAGATTAATGGTAGCTTAAATGCATGAACGTCTCTTTTTTTTTACCTCTGTCATTTTTTTACTGTCTCTAGCTCCACATTAGGAAACATTCTTGTAGAAATCAGAAAAAAAAAGAAAAAATACTTTCTCTCTATTCATTTCTTTGAAAAGCTAGGGTTTTATGTCTATGGGAAAATAATATGAATCATTTTGCGGTTCCTCAACCTTCCAATGCGGTGCTCTTCAGCCATTTTTAAATCTCTTGCTCACGTGTTATTGGCAATACGTCTTTCTACCATTGCAACCACCATTGTGCAATTGTGGCTCTTCACTTCTGTGAAAGTAATATTTTTAATAAAAGGACACTGAAGTGTAATCTCAGTAACTATTAATGGATCAACTTTCAAGTGGGGTCAAGAAGGAAGTATCTTCTCGGCTTACCCCTTTACATAGTATCTATTATAAGCTAAAAAAAAAATCAAACCAGGTCCCTTACCCAGAGTCTTTCTTTTGCCCCACATTTTCTGATCCACTGACACGAGATGAGAAAGAGATTCAGCGTGGGGGGGAGTTCCTCTGTCCACCCACCCGAAGGCGACCCTCGGAGGGGATTGCCAAGTTGCAGCCGAGTCACAAAAATCAAATTGGAGTTGACCGTACTTGATACAACCAAATGAAGCTTGTTCCTCATAATTAAAAATATTGGTGTTTGGTTACACAACTCGTAATACTAGTGTAACTCCTTGTGTCAGGACCAAGGACAGGGAGCACATGCGAAAAGTCATAAAGGAATTTCTGCAACATCACCTAGATTGACAGGGTCAGCTCTGGGGCATTATTGGCAGGATCTGTGCAAGAGGAAATGATGGGCAGAACCAGGAGTTGTCTGGGTGGCTTCATGTGCTGATGACCAATTTGGAAGGCGACTCCTGGTTTCCCTGATTCATTGCGTGTGCAGAAATAAATAACGTAACCAAAAAAGACAGGTTTAATAATATTTTTAGGTCAATCACTCCAAAAACGTATAAATTAGTATACTTCAAACACATCGAGTTTGGTGTGCTTTCCATATATTAAAAATATTTACCTAACGCAGTTTTACAGAAACCAGTGTGGGTTGGTTTTATAATTTAAAAAGTATAGAATATAATAAATAATATATAACTCAAATTGTTGTAAATGTTTAGTTTCGCACATACATCATACTGCAATTTTCCTTTGTAAAGTAAGGATGTAACCATTCAGATAAAGCATTGTGTACAGAAATGCTAATGCTTAAGAGTAATTCATTTCAGCCATCACAAGTAAAAAACATCATTCTCGAATAGCTCACTGTCAAAAAGGTAGGATGAAATAATCCAGTCTTGAAAATGTTCAAGTTTAAGGACAATCTCTCTCTCTGTCTCTGTCTCTCTGTCTCTCTTGCCTCCTGGGTGCTTTCACAATGTTGTCTTTCTTCTCTTCGGGAACATCCGTCTCAGTTCTCCTCTGCTTTTGAGTGTTAGAAGCTTTAGGGGACTCCCTTGTCATTCGTTGTACACGCCACAAAACCCATCAGCCAAATACTGTGTGCATCAGGAGTTTGTACGAAGAAAAGAAAGTCACCTTCAGAAATCAACGAATTTTTAAGTCGACGACCTCTCATGAGTAGCTGGATCTTCGTTACTTGCTCCTTTTAAAATGATGTGATGTGGTATCACGTACATTCCCAGCCGGGTGTCACAGCTTTTGTGAGATGTGCAGCTCGTAAAGCACTTTCTCGTCTCCCGTGTGAGGTTTCATCGCCGTCTCTGACTCCGGGTGTCGCACCGCCGCCCAGCGCGCCCGGACTCCACGCCTGTCACTGGGACTAGCACCCTGCGTCTAACCATGTGACTTGCATTGAACAGTGACTGTTTAAAAGCATTTTTCTTAATGAGTTATCAGTTCTGTGCCTGAAATAAAGAAGAACTTCCTCTGATCGCTGTTGTTGTTTTTAAATCTCAAACAAAACACATTTCACGAGGGAGATCAGGAGTATTTTAAGGTCATCCCCATAATCCCACCAGTACAGAAACCCAAGCTCAGCGAGTCTGACTCTCACGTGAACCGTGTAACCGGTGGTTTCTGAACGAGCCAGATCGTCAGCAGACTCCCAGGACACTCGAGGAACCACATGACCGTGGTCTGATTGCGCTTGGGCCCCGTTCGCCTCTGTGGTGCTTCAGTCACATCACTGATGACTGGCACCCGCACTTAGATCTAAGCGTGCAGAAAATGGGGGTGTTTCAACGTGAGTTACTAATATGCAGAGATCATAGAGAAAACCATGACGGTTGCCTACAGGCAACATGAAAGTGATCGGACAGGATTTTCTGTAAACTCGGGACCTACGGTCCCCATCACCACACTCAGAGCCTTTTCTTCTTCATCACCCATGGTACTCTCTCAGACCAAATCTGGCCTGCAGGAAATTGACCCTTATTCTTAATAAGAAAACGGTCTTTATATATCTGAAAACCACCACCAAACTTACAAGTACAAATCATGCACACAGAAGAATTATTTTGAAAATATAACTACATAAAATTGTACTTATGTTCGTCTAACAACAAAACTGGTTACTTTTCTATCTAAGGTAAGCTTTATAAGTCACAATCCTACAGCTTCATTGTCCTTTGAGAATAGATTTTAAAAAAAATCTATCTGGTCTCTTTAGCATTCAGGATTACCACATTTTTTTTCTATGGATGCTAAATTTGAATACAATTGGTAGAAAATTAAAATGATCCCTTCTAGTTAGTGAAAATATAAAAACTATAGATACTGCAGAGTTTTGAAAACCCAACCCACCCAGAATACACTTTTGGAAACAGCATTAAAAGTGGCATCTTGCTGATTTGACGCGGTAGGGTTGTACAACTGCAGTTCCTCTGATGCAAAGGAAGGGTTCTCTACAGACAAAACACACCTCCTCTGCTCCGCCCCCACAGGACACGTGGCCCATGAGAAGAGCTGCTATTGGGCAGGGGCATTGGTTAGAACGTAGAAGCTGTAAGATGACGCAAAGCCTTCATCTGTCGCTACTCACAGCTAGAAACAGTGTTTCTAGAAGGCTCAGAGCCACTGTCACTCGATTCAGTAGGCTGTGCCCATACTGAAATCAAGCTCATGGATAGTTTCTGGTTCCCAAATCAAGTAAGCTCAGCACAAATCTCTTAGCCAATAATGGGTCACAATCAGGGGCATGTCAGAGAGGGTCTAGAGCTTAATAAAATATGTTCTGTTGAATTGTTGGACTCGTCCTAGAAAAAAAGGACAGTGAAAACATTAGGTTATGGAAGAAAAAGCAACTTCATCAAAGTCTTTTATTTGTCCATGAAATAGTGAATGCAGTTGATAACAATGCCTTGAGTTATTACTCTGTTTAACCAACCAGAAAGAAATCCTGCCCAACTCACTTCACCAGGCTGATTTCTCTGACTCGCATCTTAAAATTATGTTATACAGTGTATCTCTTTTGGCTGAACTATCCCATCTGGCTCACAGAAATTTTAATCATGTGTGGAGCCTGCCTCGTCTCCAAAATGTCAAACTGGTTGGCTTAAAACTTACCCACTTTGAAGTTCAGTTTGTTTATTGCCAAATGAGTTTCACAAGACCGAGTTATTATTAGGTATGACTTGAAAATAATATAGAAGGACAGAAAGTTTTACCTTGCCGAGAGCATCTAGTACCTTTCACAGGTATAACCAGCTGAAAATGTGACTCCTAATTGGAGATGCGAAGCAATATGGGGACCATGGGAGACTTCTCCGGAATGTCTTAGGGCTGCAAGAAGTTTGCGGGTGGACCACACACACATAGGCTGCTCAGACCCACGCTGAATTGCTAGGGAAGCACGTCTTCCCAGAACAGCTCGCACCCATTGCAATGTACTGCCATAGCATATCATTCCCCACCACAAATCACTTGAAAACATCGCCTATCATGAGCATTTCCAGAAAATGGATATTACATGACAAAGTTCTTGAAACTAGAGCAAGGAACGAGCTGACTAAAAGAAGCATTAGCCATTTTAAACTCACGCATGTTCTAGAAACATATCACACTGCTGGACTGAATGATGAGTATCCAACCAGCTCTTTCTCTACACCACTGTTGACTTCACGTGAATTCATCTGTGTTACCGATGTGTAGTCCATGAGCTTTCCAACTGGTTAAAATGGCATTTTTTATCCCTGTATTCAAAAAATAATCCCTGAGCAAAAAAACTACGTGCCAGACAACTTCCAGATGCCAGGGCTGCAGCTGACCACAGATGAGTGACATCCTCATGTCCTCGCAGTCTAGTGACGAGAGGCCGCAACAAAACTACCGAGTGGAGATGAGTTCTGACTGTACGACCCGGAGTAAAGGAAATAAACCAGCCCGTGTCAAAAGAGGGGTTGGGTATTTGCCAGGGGCGGCGGTGGGGGTGGGGTAGGATGCACTATTAAGAGGAATAATCAAGGAATGCCTCCCTAAATAAAAAATGTGACCTCCTCCTTTCCGTTCCTAGAAGTTCACGGCCCAGACAGTTCTCAGTGTGTCCCTATGCAGCTGTGTTGTTTTATTCTCAGCTTGGAGCTCAGGACACACTTCTGGGGCACTGCACCCTGACCACACGCTCAATGTGGTGTGCACGTGGGGTCACACGTGCTTCCGTCCAGGGGACTTACTCTTCCATCACACTCAAAGACAGCCGGGGGATCGCCTGTGGGTCCGGGAGACCCGACTCAATCCCCGACGTGTTCAGCAGCATCTCCAAGATGGCACCGAGAGTCTGCCATCTGTCTTGCAATTCTCCAAGAGTCCTTCTGGTTTCACAGAGAAAAGAAAGTAGCAGCCTACTATTATTAGTAATTATTTTCTTTAGAAGCACTCAAACACGCTAAAGGGATTTTTTTTTTAATATTTGAACCAAATCCAATGACTTTCCTGTGACCCGGTCTCTGGGGCACCGTCTTGCCCGAGTCGACGACCCAGAGTCTCTGTGATGAGGCCGGAGCACATTCTCCTAAGATTCTAACACAGCCTTTGGGCGGCACCAGGGGGGTCAAATGGAACCGAGCACACGTGCTGTGCTTCATCCAGTTTAACTGCAGTCCCCTCTTCTGAAGTTAGCTGCCCCGGCCACACAGAAACAGCAAGAAGACAGGCAGTGATGCTCGCCTTGGTTTGGGAGCTACTGTAGTTGATAGGCATGTAATCTACCCTACAGAAAATAAAAAAAAATTTCTTTTTTTTTCTTTCTAAAGGGAGAGAAACATCAATGTGTGGTTGCCTCTGGCACGCCCCCTACTGGGGACCTGGCTGGCAACCCAGGCATGTGCCCTGACTGGGAATCAAACAGATGACCTTTTGGTTCACAGGCCGGCACTCAGTCCACTGAGCCACACCAGCCAGGGCAAAAGGATTTCTCGTTACACTCACAGAAGCAGAGTCACCTTTAAGCAGATCAAGTCACGCTGAGCAGAGGGCGGCGGCTGCTTCTCTCTGCCATTGTTTTCGTCCCCTCCCCCACCAAAAGCCTTGAGAAGACATCCATTAGCATCCACTCCAACGTGAGTCAAAAACAATAAAAACAAGTGTCTTCCATTTCTCCCAGTGTCTTTATCAACCTCCATTAGAAGCCACTCTGGGAAGATGCAGCACGCATTGAGAGAGAAGCTGACCACGTCCTTCCGTAAACAGTGAGTTCTCATATTCCAGTTCTTGCCTCTCAGGTAAAGCGTGGCCCACCTAAGTGGTCAAAAAGCATATGTAATTTGGGATTCGCTTTCCTGGCCATTATTCCTCAGTGAGTGTGCACCAGACAAACATCGCCGAGAGAAGCCCGCCCACTGTGGTGGCTCTCTAGCTGTTAGGGCTATTCCCTCTGTATGGTCTCGTGTCAGGCCTTACCACGGCCCAGTGGAGAAGGGAGGGTGAACTTGAACATCCCCGATTTACAAATGAGGAAACAGAACATTTATGGCTCAACATTTTCCAAAAAGATTTTATTTCTTTATTTTTAGAGAGAGGGGAAGGGAAGGAGAAAGAGAGGGAGAGAAACATCAATGTGTGGTTGCCTCTCGTGCAGCCCCTACTGGGGACCTGTACGCAACCCAGGCATGTGCCCTGACTGGGAATCAAACCAGCGACCCTTTGGTTTGCAGCCTGTGCTCAATCCACTGAGCCACACCAGCCACGATATGTCTCAATATTTATATTTCTCCAGGGCCATTCCACAGGCACCTTACACTCAGTACATCCCAAACCAGAATCCTTATCTTTCCCTCACCTGACCTGCTAATCCCTTTTTCCTTCCTACCTGAGCTAACAAAAATACCGGCCCATCCGTGGCCTCACTTTCTATCACATCTTTGGCTCTTTAAATGCACCTTCCAATCTGATTATTAGATCTCTATGATATGTAAGTACAATCGAATCATGCTTAAAATCTAAATCAATGTCTAGCCCAGACATTTGTTCTCAGCAATTACCTTCCAATGTGCTCAGTGCGCTCCCTGCTCCCTGCTCGACCTCCATCTCCCAGGCCCAGAGAGAGGCGCCCCGCTGGGAAATGCTTCCTATGCTTCCTTTGCTTCCTGACCCCCCCATCCTCTCCCCCGGCTTCAGCTGTACCTTCTGCTTTGGCTGAGGTCGGCTTCCGCCAGCTCTGGCTGTAGGGGTGCCCCCTGGCCGAGCAAGCTCCCTGCATTCCAAGTCAAAGGAAACGGTGGGGGGTGATGCCTTCCTCCCTAATTTATACCTGGGACTCACCTCTTACTGTCCTCCATTAAACTCCTATTTGTCCTTCAGAACTCACTTGAAATAGCACCTGATTTCTGAAGCCTATAAAAGAGGCATTTTTTCTGTGTTCCCAAAGTATTGATCTTGTGCCGTTAAAAAATGGCACAT